CGTCGGACAGCAATGTGTTGACTTTGTTGTGGTAGTCTCTTTTGTCCATCGCCACTGTTGCGTTGCCTTTGTCCGCCGGTAGGATGAGGATGTCGTCATTCTGTCTTAGGCTTCGAAGCGCTAGTCGTTCTTCCCTGTTAATGTTTTGTAAAAAAGTCAACACCTTGCTGTTCGACGCCCAAGTCTACAAAAAACTAAAACGCGATCTAACCACTAGCGTAGAGAAGAAAACCTCCTCCCTGATCAAAAAGGCGAACCTCCCTCCGCTAACCACGAAATACCTGACCCCCAGCGACAGCTCAGCACCCAGACTATACGGCCTTCCGAAGATCCACAAAGAATCAGTCCCCCTACAGCCTATCGTCAGCAACATCGGGGGCCCCACCTACCAACTAGCCCGCTACCTCACCAAACCCCTCCAAAAACTTACCGGCCTCAACGATTCCCACATCAGGAACTCAATGGACTTCGTGAACAGAATAACCAAGATCAAAACCAAGCCTTACGACATCCTGGTAAGCTTCGACGTGGTTTCCCTGTTCACCAACGTCCCAGTCCAAGACACTCTGGACATCATCAGGACATCCAAAGAGATTCCATCCACCCTGTTCCCATTAATAGAACACTGCCTCAACTCCACCTATTTCCAGTTCGAAGGAGAATTCTACGAACAAACCACGGGAGCAGCAATGGGATCCCCGATATCACCCATTATCGCAAACGTCTTTATGGAACACTTCGAGAATAAAATCCTAAAGAAGGCCCCACTATAAAACCCTCCACATGGTTCCGGTACGTGGACGACACCTTCGTCATCTGGAACCACGGAAGGGAAACTCTACCTCAATTCCTCACTTTCATCAACTCCCAACATCCCAACATCCAATTCACAACGGAGACCGAACAGAATTCCCAAATCCCCTTCCTGGATGTCCTGGTCCGTAGGAACGAAGACGGCACCCTAAGCCACAACGTCTACCGCAAACCAACGCACACGGACCGATACCTCCACGCAAACTCCCACCATCACCCTGCCCAAAAGAATTCGGTAATCAGCTCTCTAGTCCACAGAGCACTCTCCATTTCGGAATCAGCCGCCCTGAACGGAGAGCTAAACCACCTTCACCAAACCCTGGCCAGGAACGGATACAGCAGCAGAAACATCAGCCGTACCATCAATAAGCTGACCAACAAGCAAACCGGCCAGAATAACACCACGACACCAGAGACAGAGAAAGAGAAGATTAAGGCAGTAGTCCTCCCATACGTCAGAGGCACCACGGACCGCATCAGCAGAATCCTGAGCAAACACAACATCAAAGCAATTTTCAAACCTTGCAACAAGCTCTCACAAATGCTCTCCAATCCCAAGGACCGGAGACCCCCTTTGACAGCCCCAGGGGATTACAAGATCCCATGCTCCTGCGGCAGTGTACATAGGAGAAACCGGGAGGAAGATTAGTACACGAATCAAAGAACACCAGCGATGTACCAAATACGGCCACTTCTCACAATCAGCTCTAGCCGAACACAAGTTCGAGACCGGACACGCCATCCAGTTCGACAAAGCCACCATGCGGGCCCCGTCCCAAAGCTATTTCGCACGGAAACACCGCGAAGGCATAGAAATCTTGAAACACCCTGACAATCTGAATCGCGACAAAGGCTATCAGGTGAGCCCGATATGGCACACCGCCCTCCCGGTTTTTTAAAAAACTGTCAGCCGGCATAGGCTGACCCCCTCCCTCTCACCACCCCCTCCCCCTGACTACCCCTCCCTTCCCCCCCAAGAACGAGTATAAAAGGACTAGCGCAACGCGAGGGAGCTCAGTATCAGTCTCCCAGCCCTGATGAAGCAGACTGCAACGCCTGCGAAACGTCGGCACCACACTGCAAACGGACGCGGCAACCATCCGGAAGCCATGAAGACTAAATTCTTTTTAATTTTTCTAATCTATTGCCGCCTTCACTAATTTGGATCTCCTATCGTCGCAATTGTCGTATTGATGAAACTTTTTTAAACCTTCTTCTAACTCTTTCAAGTGATCTTGGTCCTGTTATACCGCTTCTCCAATATTCCACGGCATGTCTTTTATAGTCATCCGATATAGTTGCTTCCACAGAACTACAGATAATTTCCTCCGGAAGATATATTTTACTATTATCTGCTTCGAATAAGTTAACCGATTCCGCTTCTGGGACCTCATATGTATTGTAAAAATCTAATGTATCTTCCTCTTCTAATTCGAATTCATTTTCGTCCTGTATTTCCAGTAGTAAACGTTGAATTTTTTCTTTGACTTCTACTTCCTCCGAAGTTGTCGGACTTTGTGGAAAATTCAAATAAGTAAAAGTTGCATAGAGTAACATTATCGCGTTGTATGGATTAAACAGCATCTAAAAAGTTATTAATATTAAACTTAATATTTGTTTAGAACTTTGGTTATATAAAAGATAATACGTACTTTACAATTAATGGAGTTGCCTTTTTATATTAGTTCTAACGCCGCTTTTGTTTCTTTTCCCTTCTTTGATAATAAGGATGTGTAGCGCATCCAAAATAAATTAATTAATCGAAACGGAATAATTTGCGTTTGATATGTGGACTATGACAAGAGGAAAACAGTTTTACAAAATAGTGAAACAGATATTCTGAAATTTAAAGTAAACAAAAAGTTAATTGTATCAACTAAAAATAATTGTAGAGTTTACAATCATGACCTTTTATTAACAAAAAATTATTTGTATATAAACACTGGTAAGACTGGCTGAAGAGATTAGCAAAATTGATTTTGTGTAAGTACATGAATTAAAAATAATATTAAGCCGAAGAATAACAAGAATAAAAAGCAATAACAACAAATTAAGT